ACAACGATACATGTCTCATAACTATCATTTAGCGCCCCCCAACGTCCACACTAAGAATGGATTCCTGCTTGATCCGTGGCCGAAACAGAGTAAAACGCACTAGATACAGCCACGCTCTCATCTCCGGGGACTTCAATCTACACAATCCGGAGGTTTCGGCATCGCCCAGTGAGCAGTCCAAAGCAGACTTGCAGGAACTGATCGCTAATATTCCTTTGTACAATCAATTCACCACGCCCACTACACCTTTTTACACGCATATTAGCGTACTGTACCAAGCTTTTAGCGTGGTTCATTTTCGAAATAGCGTGCGGTACTTTCAAGTTAGCGAGGCCGGGAACGCTGCTTTGGCGTCCTTGACACTCTCATTGGTCATGGGACATAAACCAATGGGACTTCGGTTAGGAGCCACCAACATAAGCAACAGACACTCCAATGAAAGTGGTCGAGCACCACCTTCTGGTCTGCCTTGATGCCCATCTGAGTAAACTTCGATGATTGGTCTCCGACCTGAAACCGACCAATAGGCAAATTGTGCTGTCTGTCAAAGGAGGAGATGCTAGCTACCACATTATCCAAAGCTTAAGACATAACCAGTGCGGACAGACAAACTAACCAGCACATGAAGCGGTCTATACTTAGTGATGGCTAGCGACTACCTTGTGGTGGCTTATTCAGCGCTCTAGCCATGGTGACGTAGACAGCCAATGTTCTAACTGGTATTCCGCAGATCAGCAATGGCTGCTAGGCGGTTAGACAATTGCGTGCGACTGTCAGTGCAACGACCATGGGGAGCATTGTTCCCATTGAAGTTGGTAGACCAACCTGAAGCTGAACAACGAAAATGCTAAGTTAGCTTACTTCGATCACAGTTGCTGACTCAACAAATACTAATAGGATTCCAAGTGTGGCGTTGACACGACGTTACTCAGTGTTCGTTTGTCTCCACACCAATAGGCGAATTGTTAATTCAGTTATCGCTCCATTGTCTCCATGTATGGCCTCATGTAAAGGTCATAGGAGCGTATGTACTCTTAGGATAATTCCGCTTCACTTCCATATGATCGCCCATACATGTTGAGACGCTTTGACAAGTGGCTCTCCAAATGGAATCATTAGAAGCACAGTCTATGCTGATGGAACCTCCCTATTACGTCCATAGACTAGCATGCTATCCTCATGAAATCGGCATTATTCAACAAAGAAGCACCTAAAGGGGCTACAATGACTACAGTGTTTATACATGCTACATAATCTTGCTAGAAAGAACGCAAGACTTATAATTATTGGCGACGCAGGCATTTTACTCTGGTAACTCAGGTGAGTAGTTGGAACAAACAAACACTGTTGTCTCACCACGGGCGTTACTACAATGTGTTTGCAATCATTTACAAAGACAAACACGCCCATTACTCCTGCTATGGACCACTGTTTCAGCTAGTCTTAGAAGCAGTCATGTGTGCCCGCCGTGACACAGATTGCTTTCGACTTGGAAACTACTGGGAAACATTTTGTTGTTGGAAGTAGGCAATTCCGGAGGTATTGTTGAAGAAGGAAAATTGCTCCACACTCTATGCTTACTATGCGTATGCAATGCTCGTTGACAGCTTATATCAGGGCCGTAGGGTCACTTGACATTTCAAGCTTATCAATCACTTGAAGTGAAGTGTAAATATCATGTCGAAACGCAGGATTGACCTGCATCTTACGACCTTAACATAACGGCAGGTCCATGGGTCCTGTAGCGGTAACTGATTACCGAAGTGGCCCACAGGTGTGGCGACGAACGCACACTCACTAATGTCGTGTCACCGCCACACTAGGAACCCTCCTCTCTAGAACAATGGCTTCAGATCCAATGATGATCTTACCTACACAGCGAACTTGATCTTAGTATACAATGCGCCGACTACATAAGCAATACCTATCTACGCTATCCACAGGAGTGTACGGCCAACTGAAAAAACACAGCACGAGAAATTTGTAGCTGTAAAGCTTCTTAAAAATTCTATTTGCTAAGTTCTAGCTTTACCTCCCTCATACGAATTATTGCAATGTTTCCGATTACCTCACACTGCGTTAACAATCACACGCACATCCTAAGGTAAGTCGCACACCTATCGATTCTCCAGATTGCTCGCAGTGGCACTATTAAACTATGCATCACGTGTGGTTAGATAGGCTAGCGAGAAAGGTAGGCAACTTGCATCCGACCCGTAAGCCTACAAAGGTTCCCTTCCAACAGGGTTGCAGCCAATCCGCTTCCTATCACTACTCAATTAGTTGTCATCACGCTCGTGTAAGCCTTCAAATCCCCTCTTACAACAGGCTGCAAACGTTCCAACCTCAAAAAGCCACCAATCCGCTTCATATTACCACTCACAGATTTCCTCTCGCCCCCGGTGCTAGTGATAGCTCCTTACGCCAGATTGGCAGCATGACCAATCACGCACTTTGTCTCCCATTGGCTGATCATCTTCGACACGACGACGAAACCGCTGGTTAACCAGTGCTATCGATCACTTGCTGTAATGTTACCTGTTCTTTGGAATAGTAAACTCCTCGTGTGATCTGGACCACATTGGTCCGCTGCGTATCACGCGGTGCACTTTGGGGTCGGGTCTGTGGCCACACCAAAGGGAAGACTAACAAGAGTGACACTGCTCAGGAAGCGCTCTAAGTGCTGATGAACTAACCAAGCTGCTTCATCAACCAGCACTTACGAAAGCTATCGAGCGGTTAGCAATAAATGTAAGCAACATATTAGAACTCTTCGTCTTCAGTACGAAGAGGATTCGGTTACCGCAGCCGTAACAAACCTAAAGCTTTTGCTTACGTAAACAGACGTAGCGCCACAAACTCGTCTATACCGGATTTACTAAGAGCTGACGAGACCCGTGGGCGTACCGATAATGATAGTGCTTGTATACTTAGCGTACAGTATACTGGTGTCTTTTCGCATGAGGCCTCTCTACCTTTGATTGAGCTTGGCACAAAGTCTCGGAGGATCCTTGCCTAACTGAACTCAGTATAACGGAGACACAAGTCTTCGGGATATTGAAAGAGCTAAATCCTTCCAAAGCTTCTGGACTTGCTTCAATTCATCGGAAGCTGATGCATGAATTGGCCGCTGAGCTAAGTGGCCCTCTGACATGTATGTTTACAATAGCACTCGACAGCTGTGCCTTACCTTCGGAATGGAAGAAGGCAATCACCTGTCCGATTTTTAAGAGCAGTGACAGAGCGCTGCTAGCCAACTAATTGCCTGTCCGCTTGAAACGCATAGCCGTTAAGTTGTTTGGAAAATTGGCCAGGGATTCGTTGGAGAATCACTAGATTAAGTTTAACCTTCTCAGTGCGGCACAGCACGGATTCCGTAAGGGATTTTCATGTCTGACAACTTTACTAGTAGCTCGTGAAAGCTGGGCTCAGGCAATGGACAACGGTCAGACTATCGACGTGGTTTTCATTGACTTCTCGGAAGTATTTGATACTTCCCCACATCAAGGACCCTCACTGAAGTTGAGATCGTGTGGTATATCTGGAGCTGCCCTTTACGGAGTTTCTGCTTTCTTAGTGGGGAGAGAACAGTGTGTACGCGTGAGGCGTAGCCTTTCGTTTAGACAAGCTGTTCTTAGTGGCGTACCGTAAGGTTCGATTTTAAGGCCGTTGCTTTTCGCAATTTATATCAATGACCTACACCAGGAGCTTGAAGTACCGTCGCTATTGTTTGTTGATAATCTCAAGTTCTGGAATATTGTGGATATCCCTGGGCTCTTAGAGACAATTCAGAGTGTCTTGGATAGGCTCTCGGACTGGTCGACCTTACGGTTGATGCCTATACATCAGGCGAAATATTCTGTCCTTCGCATTGGAGGTGCCATTCCCCCCACGCGCTATGTAGTTGGTGGAAGTGAACTCCCTGTTGTCACTCAGCAGGTTGATCTAGTTATCATCCATAACTCATTGCTTCACTCTGGGGACAGTTGGAGGAAAGCTGCTTGTAGAGGGTTCCGTATGATGAAGTTTATTCGCCGTTCCTTCGATGTCCAAACGGCCAATATTTTTGTGAAGCTGTTCTCAGCTTTTGTGCGACCCCAGTTAGAGTACTGTGTCCAGGCTTGTCCACCTTGTCTGATAAGAGACAAGATGGAACTGGAGAGGGCTTTTCGAGTGAGTACAAGATTAGTGCAAGGAATACGGGGGCAAACGTCTCCCGAACGTTTGCTTAGCTAGGGTATGTAGTCAATGCACAACCGGAGAATTAGAGGAGCCTTGACCTCACTTACCGTATCTTAATGAGTAAGATCGGTCCAGCCTTGTCCTGGCTACTTAGTCCCGACAAACTGCCTAGTCTTCGAGGTCACCCGTTGAAGTACCACAGAAAGCGTTCTAACCGGGTAAGGACGGAAACTGGCTTGTCACGCGGAGTTATTGAACATGGAAATACGCTTCCGCAGCACGTCGTTAGGGCGTCCTAGAGGGTTTCTAGCGTCAGTTAGATGCTCTCGGGTGGCAGTATCAAACCTTCCCCTTCTTCTAACCGATATGTAATTTCAACTTCTCTTCTTTTCAAATATCTTTCCACACCTTAGTATTATCATTAATTAGCTGACTTTCCTCATCTTGTTTCCTTAGCTTACCTTTCACTCTTTTGCTTTAAATCAAACGGCCTGACAGGGACTGCTGGGCAGAAAAATGTGAGCAGTAATTGGTTGGACAATGAGTGATATGGTCTTTATTTTAGGCTTTTCAACGTCGCGAGCAGACCTATCAATTCCCTATCTGACGACACGCAAACGAAGGAACATTCCCGGGATCATCCTATCGATCTGGTCCAACTGAACTTGATGTTGATCCAATAATAATTTTGAGCACTTCATCAATTTCTGTCTCAACGATCCACTCAAGATGGAACACCGACCGCATTCTCCTATCGTTCCAGTCCAACCCGAACTCGAACTTGAGCATGACCGATCAATTGCGCGACCCCTCTCGCTATGATCTACTTTTTGTTTTTCGGATTGTTCGGCCATTTCGGTGAGCTAATGCGCTCCATTTATCGAGCTTAGCTAACTTCTATAGCCGGTTCAGAGATATGTGATCTAACGGATGATCTCAGTGGTTGTTACAGAAAGTTTCAGTCTTTTGAGGCAATCAGCCAGATTCATAAATTCCTTGACGGGGATAAAAACGGTGAAGTTGATTCTAGAGAAGCTGCTAGAGTGAGTTTTGGTTCATAGTATTATTTTTATATCCTACTGACATTGTGGCGTTTTTGACGGGCATAAATGCTTGAAGTACATTTTCAGCACGTTAAGTTTGGGTGGGGCTGGAACAAAAACAGAATCCCGTGAGTGTTAATTCCTAATCAGATCGTTGAGGCAGAAATTAATGATGTGCTCTGAGATCCTAGTGTGTATAGAAGGGTACATCACGGTCTTCTAATTTCTGCTCACGTTTCCTGCGTTGCGCTTTAAGTTAGCTGTGGAGTTGATGCTTTGCGTACCTACATGTTTCAGTCGGCAGATAAAACTGTCGAAACTGTCGGTAGTGACTAGCACTTTATCAGCTCAAATTAGTTATGTTTGTGTATAAAAGTCCGGGGGATGCGTTCAAAGTGGTGCTGGACTTTATTCGCTCCCAATCCGCGAACGGGTTTCTGATACTGGGGGACTTCATTGAGTTCATTGAGTGGTAGAGAGCAGAAGGGAGGTCCCGTGTCAGCTCACTCACTTCCCTATCTCCTAAGGATTGCAGGGGTAGTAGCTATGGCATAGCTCAGAATGTAATATCAGTCCTGCAGGATCCTGGCGTACTCAGTAGGAAGATTTCTAGCAAATGTTTGAAACTCGCTTCTGACTGCGCATTGACAAACGGGTCCGGCAGTTGGTTCCAGTCATTAATTACTCGAGTAGAGAGGGCAACATCTTATCGGACTTTGAACCTCCTCACTTTAAACAGCTTCCAGCTGTGACCTCGAGTCGTGCAGCTAAGTCTTAACTGAAAAAACTGCCTCTGCTCGTTCCCCAGTTCTCCTAGTAGGATACGCCTAGTGTAGACGAGGTCTCCGCAACATCGGCGATAGTCTAATGGAAAAAGGTTCATCCCCTGTAGTCGGGCGGGGTACGGGCGTTCGCGTAGTCAAAGAACAGATTTTCGCTGAATTTTTTTCTTTCTTGTCACTCATGCTTTGATAGAGGGGCTATGGCCGGGAGTCCGCATTCAATTATGGGACAGATGTGAGAAGTGTAGAGAAGTCAATATCTGGGGCGTCATTTTAGAGAATGATCTTATGATGCCCCATATCTTGTTCGCTGCAGCAGTTTTCTTTAATGTGTCACGGGTAGTATTGAGATCAGAGGATACTATTGTCCCCAGGTCCTTTTCCTGTGTGGCATTCTTGAGTAGGTGCCCGCCAATGTGATAGATGCCCAGTGGTTCAGCAGCACCGATGGAAAGGACAGAGCACTTATCTTTGTTGACCGGCAAACCCCACTTGATAGACCAAACGTGTAGTAGATCAAGCGTGTCCTGTAATCGGTTGACGTCTTCGAGGCTGGACACTTCCGACCATAGCTTGAGGTCGCCTGCATAACTCAGACAGTGTTTGTAGCATACTTGCTAGGCCATTGATATATCTCTTGAACAATTCCGGCCCGAGAACGAAGCCTTGTGGTACGCCACTGTACATAGGCACTGAGAATGAAAGGGTATCGTTTACCTTGACTTGCATGTTCCGGTCTTGTAAGACGTAGGTGGTTCCCTGTTATGCCAATTCCGCGGAGCTTAGAGAGTATTTCCTGATGAGGGACTCTCAAAAGCTTTGCTGAAGTCGATGAGGACCACGTCTAAACATTTTCCAGCGTCCATTGATTTAGCCCACTTCTCTCTAGCGGCCAGCAGGTTAGTATTGCAGTAATTTCCCTTTCGGAAGCCATGCTGAGTAGACGAACTGAAGTTCAGATCTTCGCAGTGTCGGTGGATGGCACATTTAATGAGCATTTCTATGATCTTGCAGGCGACCGACGTCATGCAAATTGGCCGATAGTTCGCAGTATCCTGGAGGTTTCCACCCTTGTATTTCGGTATAACTACACCCGTCGTCCAATCGACAGGTAGTCGACCATCTTTAAGAGAGAGCTGAAAAATTTGACAAAGTTGGACGGCAATGAATCCTGCTATCATCTTGAGAAAATGGGGTGTAGCCCGTCGGCCTGGTGAGGAAGGTGAGTTCAGTTCTAGTAGCAACTTCAAGGTAGCACCTGCATCGATATCGATATGTCCCAGAGGTACTGTATATGCAAGTACATGATTGCGAGTTTGTCTCCCTTCGTGTATACTGAGGAGAACTGTAGTGCCAAGAGGTCAGCTTTGGCGTCATCATCATAGTGTATTATACCTAACTCATTCGTAGACAATACAAAATCCCACAGCCGGCCTTACAAGATCTGTTAAGGTATGGAAATAGTTTCTCTGGCCTAGAAAGGGATTGTTCAGCCAGGCTATGCTCGTATCGTTGTCTCTTCACGTTTCTGTAGGGAACAGAATTTCCTGACGGCCTTGTATTTAGACTTGTCTGAGTCTAAGCGGGTAAGTTTGAATCTGTCCCATATTTTTCGTCGTTGTTTCATGTTGGCCCTGAGTTCTCAGTCGATCCAAGGGGGCCTTAGAGAGAGGCCTGGAATGGGATGACCTTCTCAATGAGTAGCTCCAACTTGTAGAATAGATCGTTCCAAGCAGCATCGAGTTCCAAGTGTTGTGGAACATTCCAGTCCAGCGTACTTGCTGCCGTCCTTAACTTGGATGCGTCGGTCCGCCAGAAGTTTCGACGGTGTGCGCTCCGGACTCGGATAGCGAGACGTTTAGTTCATAAGAGGGAGATTGCACAATGGTCGCTTCTACCAATGGGCTATTGAAGGGTCACTTCTGAGACATCTGACAGAGCCGGAGTGAGCACAAGATCAATAGTGTGCGGAGTCTGGCCGGGAAGAAGCGGAGTAGGCGTTGTTCTATGCTGGGAGAGATTCGTTCTGAGGACAGTTTCAAGGAGGCTAGCGTCAAAGGACTCGGGTGGAAGGCGACAGTGTAGTAGATCCAAATTGACATCCGGGGCATTGAAGTCACCCACAATAAGACAATCTCTGCGGTTTCCATGCGATTTGATAAAGTCTAGCACAGAGGCGCCATGTCCCCACGGGGCTTTGTGGACAACGCCAACCATAAGAGATTTGAAGGCATCATTGATCTTGCACCAGCACAGCTCTGCGCCGCCATCAGCGTCGCTAACAGCTTCTACGAGATGAACTTTAAGATCCTCTCTCCAGTAGAGAACTACGCCGCCACCAACATGTTTCAGATCGGTCAGCACGGAAAAGTTGGTATTCTAAGATGTAGATCTCGGAGTCGGAGATATCTGAAGTGAGCCAAGACTCAGTGAAGGCCAACTGGTCAGGAAGCAGCTTTGCGGTAAGAGCGTGTATCTCGTCCAATTTGTTCCGGAGATTGCGAACGTTTGCAACCATCACCTGTAGTCCATACTTCGTCCTTGTTTTTAAGTCCCGAGGAGGACGAACAGTGGCTTCCAGCGGGACCTCTACTTTCTACACTATTTGAAAATCCACTATGTGCAAGTTTGTCTCGCCATTTGCTCTACGGGTTCGTAGTTCGTTAGCTGCGTTCTTCATTTTGATTCGATCTTTTGGGGAGAGATCTCTAAGAACATAGAATTTTTCTCCCTTGAGACGTGAGGTCCGTCCGAGGATACGGCGGCACTCTTCTTCATCCTGACAGACAACTTTGAGAGGACGGGAGTTGGTGGGGTCTTCTCGCTTTCTCCCAAGACGAAATGCAGAGACAAAGTTAATCCCTTTTTCCACTATCGAATAGAAAAAAGACCATGTGCTTTACGAATACTTGATCGTTTTGTATTCTTTCTGCTGGTGTCTCGCTGTTAGACTCGGGAGTATTTACGATGATTAGACACCGCTCACGGGAGGGCGCTTGTTTCCATCAGGTATAGGTGGTTTCGGTGTGCTGGGGTTAGCCTTGATCAGATCTTCCAGTTGTGTCATTCTGTCCAAGACCAATAGTAACTGAGATGAATTAGATTGCGGTGCTGTTTTAGACTTCTGCATCTTTTTAGCGGTCGTTTTGCGCACTGCTGTTTTTGGGGTGACCGAAATTGTTGGCATTCCATTTCTCGCCACAGTCGCATATGTCTTCGGCTGAGGAACGCTGACCCGTCCTTTAGTCTTTGATGCTATCGCAGGAGTATCGGAAACGTGTCTACTCCGCCGTCGCGAGGTGTCCGCATCTAATAGAGTTAGTTAGGAAGGCGTAAACTCGTCATTTGTGGAGACCCCAGCGTCAGCTGTGCAGGAACGCAGAGGGAGAGCCTGGCGATCAGGGATGGGTGGTTATTGCTCCCTGCAGTTCGGCACGTGTCCCACTGATGGCTGCTAACCGGGGATGTACACAGTTGAAGTTCATTGTACAGTCGCGCGCTGATGCCACGACAAACGATGTGCAGCCATCCGTTACAAAAGAGCATTGGACAGCTTTGGAACGAGATATGACGCCCTTGCTGCCGGACACGCATTTGGAAGACATTATTCACGTTTTTCAATCGAATCCGGTTGCAAGCAGGAGACAGCTGGGCAGATCTTTCTTGCAACTCGGCGGAAGATACTTTCGGTGCAGATCTTTTTGAGCTTACGCTACAACCGTTGCATCAGTTCGTGGACCTTCCCACTAAGTTCATGGATGCCCAAGTACCGTCTATTTTGGCTCTAGTTTTTGCCAAGTCACTAGACTTCGTAGGTGACATCACTTACAGCTCTCCCATAGCTGCTAGTGATCATGTCTGTTTATCATTCAGGTGTACTCTGAGCAGACGTCACCACAGCATCGCTGAGCCATATCCGAACATATGGCATGCTAACTATCAGACAATGGATATCAAGACTTCTGGGTTACGTTGCGAAATCTCCGTGGCCGATACGATTCACGCGGCCTGAGATAAATTTAAGTCTTATCTCACGGAAGTGTCTACTCCCTACATCCCACTTGCGAGGGGAAAGGATACACGGGCACGGCCGCCATGGGTAGATACTACTGGCAGCTACCAGCTCCAGAAGCGTTCTAGGTGCTGGACGACCTACCGTGCGACTCCATCAACTAGCACCCATGATAGGTACCGCGGGACTAGAAACTGGCGTAAACA